TTTCAATTTTCCACTAGTGCTATCTTTGGATACAAAAATCGAATTATTATCTGCTGTAGTGGGATATATTACAATTTGCTACCGTACAACAAGGGCTGTACTAGTCGAAGTAAATGCCAAGAATAAGATGTGGCGCAAAACTTAAGATAGACGTAAGTGAATTTTATTTATGATAAAGTTATAATTAAGAACAGAAGTAGGCAGTGCAGAATAAGCTCAGGTATAGTTATACGTATAACAAAACCTATCCCTATCTATTCCTAAGTATGTATAGGAGTGTATTAGGAATTCGTCACTTATATTATAAGTCGAATTAGGCAGCTACTCTATCAAAATCTCTTTTCGATTTAGTTGAACTGTTGCATTTTTTGTTGAATGAAAATAAATACTCATGACACTGATCTAGCAAAACAAAGATATTAAAAATCGTATTATGTATGTTGTTCGTTAATCCTGGTGAGATTTGGAATGCTTATGGAAACCTTTTAATCAAATATTTGAATTGTCGGAAAATAACCGCACAATGAAACTTTTTTGAGAACTTCAATGAACAAGAAATATATGGCTGTCGTTGATTTTGTACATATTTCCTTGTCAATTGTCCGGAGACCTGTTCATATTTACTACCCATGCTTTGATATTAATAAAAAAGTAGTAAAATTAATCTCATTCGTGATCAATAAGCCAATATTTCCTCAAGAAGATATATGCAATGAAGGCAGATTCTGAGGAAAAGATGAGTGTAAAGTGTGACAAAATGAAATTATTTTTGATTAGTTAAATAGGAATTCGTTTATATAACTAATTTTTTTCGAAATCGGTAATTGAACTCGATATTATGCATGAATCATCAAATCTCGAATACACGTTCATATCTTAACGATAGTCTAACGAGCATATATAGCTCAGACGTAAGTATCTTGCTTTCTGTTCGTATGTTCTAGTCTCGTTCATCGCACAATTCAAACTTGCCACGTAAGTCATAAAACTCGTTCTGTACTTTGCCTCGATGTCAGAGCTGATCATTACCTGATGGTATGGTGATGTAGTTCAAATCTACTAGTACGAAATAAGCTTTTGTTTTCGATTATAGTCCAAACGCGTTTACACTCAAAAAAATTTCACATGGGACTTGAGGGTAAATTCTTTTTTCGTTGCATACACAGAGTGACGATTAAGCGATTAAAATATGCAATATTGACTGCATGGGTAATTTAAAAGGACGTATTCACAAACTAAAATGGATTTGGAATGCCGAATTTGAATGCAAAGCATGAATTTTGGATTTGGATATTGTGGGTGAAGGATGAAGAAAAACAATAGTTATAAGGATTGATTGTGTAGCTTTAGTTACTTATTTATAAAGATTAATTATATGTTAACTGTTGTTTGGCTTCATCTGTCTATATAATCGCTTGGGATAACGAACGTTTTCATATGATAAAAATATGAACAGAAGACAAATTTATTACAAAACTCTGTCGTTCTTTTACCGTTAACCATAATGGACACTAACTTTTATCTGTTGTCTTATTAGAAACAATTTCTTTTGACAATGCGACTTTGAAATTAGAATTCAATCTATTAAATACGATTGATAACGACGCCTCTCTCTGATTACATAGAACTATTTTTTAGTCAGAAAATAAAGCTCCGACAAAATTTATCTTCACCTTATGTTCTAAAGTTTTTCTTTTCTCCAAAGAGCTTTTGTAGGCAAACAGCCGTTTAGAGAGAAAAAACTTTGACTTCGAAATCATTCACTCTCATACATCTCCTCATTCAAATTATTTGAAAATCTATGGCACCACGTCATTCAACGTATCAAGGATCTAATTATGCACTTTCTTTTGGTGCTATTATAACCTCGTTAATACTCATTGCTGTACTATGGAAAGCACGTGCAGGAATCTTCAAATTGATGATTAAGAAAATGTTTTCGATGAAATATACTTGGTCCGAAGGTTTGGAACAAACAGCAACATTAGATATATTCGGGGAAAAGTTTGTATTGAGAGATAGAAAACAGTGTTGTTTTGTAGTTCCTCGTGTCTGTCTTTGGCTTATGATAGGTGTTGTCATAGGAGTAACATTGATGGTTTTTATAGATGGTTTAATCTTAAATGTTATTTATCTTCCTTCAAATGAAAAATGTCCCGATGATGGTGATATGGATTGTTATTCGACTAAACAGTCACGATATTTCTATTGTAATTCATCTGATATTTTAGTTCCTGATGCGATGGGAACTTCCATTTGCTATCGATGGTTTAAACGAGGAATATCAACATTAGAAGTTCTCGAACAAATTGGATTGTGTACTGGTCTTTTCGAAGTATTCAGTTGGGGAGTTGGACTCTACTTACGTTGGCTACTTTTTGCTTATAAATTTCCTGATCCAGCAAATGGAGCAAATTATGCACATCCCTATTTGGCATTGATTTCCACTAGTGTATCATTTGCCATTCCAATTGTTATATTAGTAGTTCTTACTGTGTATTATATAAGTATAACAGGATTGACAATAGCAGTTATCATTGGTTTGTTATTTATTGTAATACCAATGCAAGTTTTAGTTTGGAGTTGGAGACGAAATAAAAGATTAACGATTATGACAGAACTCGAATTTAATCGAATGGGTGTTGCGACTGTTGAAAAACAACAAACAACGATCGAAATCCAACAGCAGTGATCAACAAATTCAGCATAAAAAAGACAGTTTTTATGACTTTTTTTTGTAATTGACTCATTTATTTGAACAAAAACAAATATAATATATTTTCATCATAGGTTACATTTGTCGCGTATGTCTATATAAAGATGTCCCAATCTCTTCGTTTTCTCTCAGTTTCTGCATGAAATCAAACTGATTAGGTTTTTCGTCGTATCCACTATGAAAAAACTTTCTTGCCTTTTTTAAAATCACCTCTTTTACAATTGAACTTCGTAGTTCCACGTCCACTCTGCCTGAGAATCTTCATATTAACTCATTTTTGATTCTCATGCGATTTTTTTAAAGTAAAAACACAGTTTCTAATTTTCTGCTATGATTCTTCACGTATGTTTCACTCAAAGTAGAATAATTATAGAAATATTTCATATTTCTCATAAATAAAATCATTAAAAAAAAACTAGAGCACAATATATTAATCTACGTAGTTTCAGTTTTTCAAAGTACTGTATGTTCAAATGCATTCTCTAAGTAAGTACGAGATTAGATCGCAATGTATGAAGCGTCTATAGACAAAAACCATTATATGAATAAGAAAACAAAGATTGAGAGTATCGGAATCAACATTATTTCATATCATATATATGAACTTTAACAAATGAATGTAGTTATGCAAATAGTTTTTTCTTTTTTGAAAATACATGACGTATCAAAATATTTGCTGTAAAATAGGACAGGATGATTATATTATGAATTTTCTCTTCAATTATGATAAATTCAGTCGATTTATAAATAAATAACCTGCACGATATTATATATATCAAATTTGAATTCAAAACGATAAAGATGATGATGATACGTATTGTTCGATGAATTCTCTTCGTACTCAATTGGTTCGAATCAAATGCAAATGATTTTGAAACAGTATGATATAAACGATTGACTACTCATATTTATCTTTGTTTAATGATAATTATGTGTGCTGTTACACTGGTTGTTTTGAATCTCGAACGTTTATTTGAAAATGTCGGTGTTCTTGTTAATAAATAGCGATTTCTTACAAAATATTTAGAAGAGTTCAAGCACAATTTCATTCAATATGTTCAAATCCTTTTGTTTCATCTGATTGGTTGGATTCGATTAGTCTATGCAGCTAATGTCACTTATATTTGGTCAATGCATACGTGTACTACAATAAGTACTTTTTGGACAATCAGTTTCTGGTTTCTGTCGAAATATAGATGAGATTGTGACAGAGTTAATTTCGAATTATAAAACTTCAACGATGTTCAGTTCAAAAGTAATTTCATCGATTGAAGTCGAAACACGAAAAAAAAACGTCTCTTGAATTTGCTTTAACTTCAGCTCAAATTGGAATATTACACCATTATCTCCACAATTTTATTTTAATAATCCAACTTCCTCTGTCACGGCTTGCTGCATCGTTCTATCAACTAACAGAATTATACTACATATGTCGATTACCAATGGATGGATTGACTCAATCTGTTTTAATAAAATTCAACAATGGTTGTTTGAAATAGTTAATTCTGACCTATTGAATATTACACCATTCGATGTCAATCTTCCTCGTCGTTTTTCACCTCGAAACGCCGATCAATTAGTTAATGAATGAATTATTTTTTTCGAAAATTGGAATACCAATGTTTCATAGCAAAAGTTTTACTTTGATCTTAAGCCTAAATCGTGTAATTATTGATATCTATGGCGGTTTGAGAAAAGGATTAAAGTTGGTAGTCTCATAGATTATACGATTTGCATGGATTTGTTTGAGATGCAAATGTGATCGAACAAATCAAGAGCAGAATGATAGTCGCGCAAATACGACAATCATCTGGATATTTTCTGTACGTACGTCTGTATACAAGAATTTATATAATGCTCTCTTCGGTATTATATCGATACTAGTTATATTTACAGGTCTAACTCAATGGAGTTGTACAAAATCTGTACCGAATCCTTCAATATAAGAATTTTCGAAAATAACTCTCGATAATCGTTTGTTTGTTATACAACTAGAAGCAACTTTGCATCCGGTGTGTATGAGTCATTTTGTCAAGGGTCGTACTGTTTGGATCTATTGGCTTAGTGGAAGAGGTTATGTCATAGACTGAGTACATTCAGTTGATTTTCGTCGATGGGGAAGTGCATTTTTATTTGGATCAGTATCATGAGTGCTGTTAGGAGCTTTCAATCGGAATCTCTTCTTGTTAATCAATCAATGATTCGTACTCAATTTGAAGATCAAATCAACTTACAAAATGGTCGATTATTAAATGATACATGTAATAGTTTTGTTCAAACACAAGAATTCTGTTAAGATATGACACAAGGAAATGCTTTGATGGCATTTTATGCAACAAACTGGATCCTAATTGCCAAATAACATTACAATACAAGTGATAAAACTATTCGTATTGAACCAATCACATACAATTCCTCGTGTTCCTGTGTCACCACACAGTCTCGTCTGAAGTCAGTTGATATGTATTCAAAGGTGTTCAACATGATTGATCTTTACTTGAATCATATTTAGCATTGTCTCTGCCCAGTTTTTATTCAAATTCCTGTTTAGTTTCATCTTTCGACACTTGGCCAATCAACACATTGTACGAATCATTTTTTAACGAATGTGCTGTCCGATATTGTACTTATTCGATCGTGCGACGTTTGGATTTTCTCTATGTACTTACAGTAAAAACAATTTGTAAAATGTTGTTATTTTTAGAGATTCCTCTCTTTCCTTGGGTGAAATTAAGACAAACAATTCCATTTGATTCGAAATCTTCATGAAATTCTTTACGATGAAAATAAATATTCGAATAAAATTTGATTGCAACATGATTTGTTCATATTTCAATAAATAACAAAAAGAAATAAATTGGAAACTTTCAAACACAAATCGTGCAAAGCAAATAAATACATTTTCTTTTCTGAATAAAAAGGTTATACAGGGTTAATTATTGCGCTCAAATATTTAAAAATTGATCACAATTTCTTTGTTCAAATAAATTATTTATTTAAAAAAGTATAAACTAAAACATTCTTGTTTATTGCTAAAGAGTAACTTGATAGAGTTTTTATTAGATGCAGGACAGGAAGTCTACGGGGTGAAACGGAACGGAACGAAAAAATCGCCGTTCTGTCGTTCTCAGGTACTTATAGTTGCACTTTTCTTTGATGCTCGTACTGCTGTTTCAATTATTGAAGATGCATCTAAGACAGAAATAAAAAATGAAATAAAAATAATATTTCTCTCTTATTTTATTACTTGAACATCCATTCCAACAAGCACATTTATGTGTCAATTGAAATTTATAATTATTTACTGGATCTTCACCAAAAGCTTGAAATTCATTATTTCCTTCAGGAGAACATTGTAACAATACAGTGACTTTTTTTCTCTTATATATATAATTAATTGAAGGAACACTATTGAAATCTGATCCTGGAGTCCATGAAGCACTTTCTTGAATACCAAGAGGAAACGTTTGTTGATTATCATTCGAAACTAAATATATAAGAATGAATGAACAAAGCAAACTATGTTAAGTTACTGACTTTGACAAACAGACACACCGATACAATCGGCTCCTTGAGAAAATCGTCTACATGGATTATAACTATATTCTATAATCATCATAAATATTTTGTTTCGACATGAAAGGTTAAGATCGAAAAATCAAATAAAACATACTAAAATTCGATGTTGTTCGTGTTGTTTCATCTGAATATGCTGCTTTTTCATCTGTTCGACCAATAAAACTCAAATCGATGACACCTTTGCCAGGATATTCGAATCGACATGGATTGGATGATGGTGGTACAGCTGTTGTTGTTATCGTCGTCGTCGTCGCCGTCGTTGTTGTTGTTGTTGTTGAGGTTGCATCTTTATTCAATATAATTCAAATGAATATATTCCTCAATATTTACTTACTTGCACATCCATTCCAACAAGCACATTTATGTGTCAAACGACCCGTATAACGAGTTTGTGGATCTTCACCAAAAACTTGAAACTCTGCTTTTTCACTTGTTGAACATCGTAGTTGAACAACAAATGTTCTGTCATCATGTGTATAAGTAATTGACGGATCAATATTCGTTCCATTTCCTGGACTCCATGTCGCGGTTTCTTGCTCACCAATATTATACTGATATTGTTCATTGATTGACACTAAATATCACAATACGAGTTTAGAAGAAAAACAAGAACAAATAGAACTATCTGGATACTTACTTTGACAAGCGGCTGTATTTACACAGACAGATCCTTCAGAGAATTGTTTACATGGGTTATAACTATATTCTATACAATTAGAAGATCTCATCTATAATATTTATGTAAACAAAAGACAGAAGTAACATACTGTAACCAGATGGTATTAATGGTAGTATGTCTGCATATGCAGCTTTACCATCTGATCGACCCAAAGAAGTTATATCAATTACACCTTTTCCAGGATATTCGAATCGACATGGATCAGATATACAAATCGTTGAATATAAGAGAATTAAAAAAGTAATCAAGATTGTTGTTCCAATCATCATTATTGTTGTGACAAAATTTTGCTTTGAAATAGAATAATCTATATAAAAGAAAAGAATCTTCAGTCAGATGAATATATTTGGTTGTTTTATACACTCTAATGTTAGTTAAAGTATTTTTGCACATTTATCTACATTCTTTTATATGTGATGATTAAGCTTTTCTTTTCTTTATTAAACTTTGTTATCTGAGGTGAAAATGAAAAGTACTGATAAAGATGACAAACATAGCGATGTTGGTGTGTCGCAACTTGCTCAAAACTGGAACATTTCTGCGTTTTGACCTATTTAATTCTCAACACAATTCCAACATTTTATTCATTCGATATGGCACATGGAAAATAGTCAATTATTCGTAGAGATACACAAATATAAATTCCATTGTACAGCGTTTCCTAAGTAATTTCTGTTCGTTGAAATCTTTTTATTGTTAAATTTGGTGAGAGATCATTACAATGTATTCAAGTAGAGAATTCGCCATTCTTAATAAACAAACAACACATATGTGAAAGCATCAACAATGTTTTTAACCTTTTATCTTAGAAACAGAAAAGCACGCTTTATTGAATATAAGTTTTCATGTGAATTCTGAAATCTTTTCTTCATCGAGAACAATTATCTCAATAACTTCTTAATCAATTTCAATTTGAATCACAAGAACAAATTCAGTAAATGGGATCAAAATAGAAGAAAGGTAATGAGGAGGAAATCGATTTTAACAATGGATAAATATGCATTTCTTTTTGTTTGTGATGATGAATTAGAGAAGAAAAAAGGAAATCGAGTCAATTAAATTGGATTTTTAAGAAATATTTGTTGATGAACAAATCAATCAATTTATGTTTGACATCGTTTGCAACCATCGTATAACGCAATGGACACAAGTTGTAAAAGAAAATATCGTTACAAATAGAAGTAGGAAGAAAAACGGATCAGATCAATTATCTTTTCCATTGTGGTATATCATTTAATGTTCAAGGAAATCTTTATATTGTTGATTGTGAAAATTCACGATGTAAAAAGTTTTATTTAATTTCAGAAATATATTAAACCAGCAGGAAAAAAGTACAAATCTCTGAAGTAGTATTAATAAAGAGAACGAAGATAAAAATATTTATTTGAGACATATGACGGAATATAATCTAAGAAACAATTGAAGAAATAAACTAATCAACACTTTTGAAAATACGATGAAAATTGGGAAATTCCTCATAAAAACTAAATTAATAAAATAAGTTTGAAAATAAAAATTAAATTGTTGACTTCTACTCTTCTGTCGAACGTACGAGTAAATTTATGATAAAAATCTGAAGATAAAATTTATTCAAAACTGATGACGATTTCAGATTTTCCACACTTTCTAATTATTTTCATCATTGAATAAATTTCTTAAAACTTAATTTTATTTGTATAGTAAAATAAAATTGAATTCAATTGTTCATTCTAATAAACGTTTAATATCATTACAAAGTATTTGATTCGATTTACCTATGCGATATCCGTTTCAATTGATAAATAATTCAAATGATATCGATAAGAATATGAAGTTAAACCTTTTTTTCATCTTTATACGAAGATTGTTCATTATTATGNTTTGAGCAAGTTGCGACACACCAACATCGCTATGTTTGTCATCTTTATCAGTACTTTTCATTTTCACCTCAGATAACAAAGTTTAATAAAGAAAAGAAAAGCTTAATCATCACATATAAAAGAATGTAGATAAATGTGCAAAAATACTTTAACTAACATTAGAGTGTATAAAACAACCAAATATATTGTTGTACTAGATTCATCCAATGATCATTTATTTTTTTATTCTTAAATATAATGTAAAGAATCAAAACACATATGAAAGAGAGATTAAAATGACATTTGAATTTTTAGAAAAACGTCTTTGAATCAAGTGACAATCTATCATTTTCATTTTTCAATTGGATCACACACGTGTGAAGAGAACAAGTAGAAAAAGAGAAAATATTCTATATAATATGCCCGTTTATCAACATACGTAACATTCACGCGTACAAATGTCACTCAACCGAATTATGCAGTTTACGGGTGTAGCTGAATGTGAAAAAAGAACACGAAGTGCTCAGATAATTGTTAATCGATTGATACAAGAGTAATTTTTGAACATATTTTCATCGTAATTCTTTTTATTATAACGATTCACTAAACGTCCTTGGCTTTTTCTTCACGATGTTTTTCAATTCATCTTCATCTATGTTGATACCACAGAGATATTCTAATGCATCAATAGTAATAATGTATGCAATAAAAGCAAATGATTTCTCAATTTTCTCATGTACTTCAATTGAGTTTGAGATTATTTGACAAGAAATATCTTTGCAACTTCATGAACATAAACAAGAAAATGTTGTATTCATCAAATAACATGTTCCTGATGTAACCTGGATAGTCATAAGACGACGAAGAGGGTATTGTATTTAGTGCAACGATAGTGGCAAGAGATGCGGGAAAGGCATCTTTTTCGTTTGTAACATTGGTGCGTTGGCCGACGTCCCTTCTCTTTCGTATAACTGTTATTTTCAAGTTCTAATAATACTTTGTATTTTAATAAAATATTCTCGATGAGATCAGCTCTATTGTTTGTCAAAAAACACGTGATATCGATTCATTCAATCTTTTAATGATATACATAATTTAAATTAATCTTCATTTCTTTATTGAAACAGAGTTTTCATAAATAAATATGATTTTGTGATGTTTGATATGCATCATAATAAATGTAAACGAACTTATTGTTAAAAGGATGATAATGAACTTGAATGAGAAATTCTTCATTAACAAAATGTAATACGAAAGAAATCTAGAAGAACATTTTGTTACCTTTGAGACAAGAGAAATGACAAAGTTAATGATGATTATTTAAAGATTATGATCAACTCTTTCAATGAAATGTTGTAAAGAAATGAAAACAAGAAAAATTCTCTGAAGACATTTGTCAAATCGTTCACGATTGTAAAATTCTCATTGTTCTTATCTTTTGTCAAATAAAATTCTATTTCTATTGACACAGTCGATTTTATTACCCATGAGATATATAACTTTCATTTCGTGTTGTTCTTCAAGTTGAGCTCGTATATATTTTAATACACGGTATAGCTTAACATTTTGGCAGTTTTCAAATGATCATACGACTTTCCAATTGTGAACATAATCTTCTCTCATCAAAATGGAACAAATCTCTACTTTTTATTATTTTCCTATCATTGATTGTCATCGTTTTAATCACATACTATATTAGTTCGTCTCATACAAAGAAAGACTTTGTACCACCTATTACAGATATTTTACCGAAAAATCGCACATTGTTACAAATGCAAAGTTCCGAATGCATCGTTAATGTTGAGAAACGTGACGGTCGACTTGGTAACCGAATGTTTATAGTCGCAACTGCCTATGGGCTTGCACGTCTTCATTCTTGTCGATTGCATATAACATTAGATATCCTCAATGAATTAAAATCAGTGTTTATTCTTGATCTTTCTTCTTTACTTATTTCGACATCGACTTACATCTCTATGCGAGATAATATTTCAAGACCAATGCATTACTTTAGTAAAGAAGTTCAATGTGACTATGTTTTTGAATTAATCCGACCAAATGGTATCCCGTTTGGATCTATATTTGAACCCATTGGTTATTGGCAATCATATTTACATTTCGTTAGATATGGTGATGAGCTTCGCAAACATGTTTTTGCCGCATCACAAACAACACTTGAGAAAGTTTCGAAGGTTTTTGTCGAAATATATTATGAAATAACCGGCATGAGACGTCAGTTTTCCATAGAAAATCATCAGATATTCAAAAAACAATTAGCTGAAGATAATCAAATAACATGGATTGGAATTCATGTTCGTCGAGGAGATTTTATTTCTCTCAATTTTACGTCATCACCTAAGTATTTAATTGATGCTATTCAGTATTATATGATACGATATCCTAATGCTCATTTCATAGTTGCAAGTGATGATAAAGCATATTGTAAAGATCTTTTCCGTGAACAATCCCATGTTTTTATTACACCAACTACATTTTCATTCGGTGATGATTTAATAACTTTGTCACTTTGTCAACATTCGATTGTTACTGCCGGTACATTTGGTTGGTGGACAGGCTATCTTGCTAATGGAGAAGTTATTCATGATAATGTTTACATCTCTGGATGCGAAAAGCGAGCTTATTATTACCCACCATGGTATTTAATTAATGGACATGTACGCGGATCTAGAAGAATGCAATTTATTCCAGAATAAGATACAATAGAAACGAAAGAGTAAAATTACTATTATCGAAATTTTTATAAAAAGATAGGTAGAAGAAAATTATGTACAACTTAAGAGTGATGGTGATCATGGACGAAAGTTTCATAGATCAAACTCCATTTGGACAGAGAAAGCTCGTTTGACAAAGCACTTTTCAACTAAAAGCTGGGCAATTTTCTTCTATCATTCATTTATAAAGATTTTGAGAATAATCGTGGTTAATGAATTAGTTATTGCAGTAATCTTATAAAATAGAAATTACTTCTAAATAAAATATCCGCCGGAAAAGAATCAAATAAATCGTTTTATCATCGAGTCTTGAGAACTTTAGACTGACGAATTGTATAATGTATTTCAATAGCTAATCAAATGAATTTGTGTCGACATTTTTCTACTGAAACTGATATAATAAAGTTAAAACAGCAGAAAGGATGTGGAAAAAATGGAATGAGTATCTTTGTTTTAAATCTATTCATGGCCATTAGTTTTTCTTTATAAAAAGTGTTTTATACACAACTTTAGAAAAACAGCAAATAGCATGAATGCTCATTCTCGAGATGCATCATGCTCAGATGAGAGCAAATCGTATTCATTCGATGATGTGCACAGATTAACATGAGGAATAAAAAGTTCTCATATAACTCCTCAGGACGAGTAATTGGACTGTCGGATCCTCTCCGGAAGAATACTGAATTTTATCGGATTCGACCGGAACTTGTCGATATGCTGTAGAAATCTTTAAAAGTCCGACACCTTCCGGTCAGATCCGATGAGGTAAGTTTAACCTGGGTCTGAAACGCACCTGAAAGATGCATTTCGATGCACTTGTGCTTTGCTTTTGAAACGTGTTTGTACTCAAAAATATTTTACATGGATCTTCGTCCGTGAGAAAAATCATGTCTTTAAATCCAAACTGGTTTTTAAAAGTCACAGCCACTATTGAAGAATACTTGTGGCTTTTGCTAGCGCTGAACAGCATTGGATTATTTTTCTTATAAATGCTTTGCCGAGTTATCGTAGCCGATTATTTTATCATTATATACCTGCTCTCATATGTATGATTTATCCATGGATATTTTATTCTGTATTCATATTTCTATATCCATGTGAGACCATATATGATTACGCTCAACTTCTCTGTTTAACACCAGGCTATTTCTTAAGTGATTCAGTTGTTAATAGAGATACCTACATGAATTGAAATCTTTCGTTGGAAACGAGATCGGCAAATAGTAATTCAGTTCTTAAGTATTGTAATACTGTATTGCGCTGCATGGGGACAATTACAAGCTTCGAGTGTCTATGGCATTATTTCCCGAAATGGTGTACCATCTCCGTTTGAGGTTGACTATCTTTGCACTTTCCTATGTTTCGTCTATTTGTTCTTTTATTATCAAATCCAGATATTACACATAATATTTCTTTTCGTTATTAAATTCCTTTTATTGACATCTTACGAATTTACGTTTTCTTTGTGCTTTTTTCACAATACATACGGTTTCTTCTCTTGTTTCGGTAGAGACATCGACCAATATCTAACGAAACCAAGTGAATCAGCTGAACACAAATGCTTCCATTAAGAGCAAAAAATGTGAACCGAATGTTCTTATACTTCATCTACATTCAAACTGTTACACGCATGTGCACTATGAAACTTCACCCACACACCCTCATGTGATGCCATGCAACTATTTGTTTAAGTGATGTGCGACATTTTCATCGAAATTTTGCATAATGACATCATTTCGGAAGAAGAAAGGTAAAAAGCATTATATAAACAGTGTAAACAGTCATTTTTTCGAAAGTAAGTAACCACTTTTTGTTGTCGTCCTGTGAAAACGATTTGACTATTCGCTGCTACGAAAATTCTCCGATGGGATCTAATGCTTCAAAGATTTCTGATTCTGCTCTTCGTTTTACCGATGTTGGCACCATACCACAACGAATGCTCGCTCCAATTGAAGGATACGAAAATACGCCACTTGTATCATTAGAAGAAGCTATTAAACCACTCGTCAGCATCGTACCTAAAGTCGAACGGAATGTATATCTTGTTAAAGAAAATTGTAAAAATCCCGAAGATGGTTTAACAAGTGATGAATCAGGATCTATTATGCTTTATACTTTGGAATCGATGCCACATGAAAATTCGCTCTACGTCATTTTGAATGACACCTTACGATCGGCTGATCGGCAAAAGCTCGTTCCATGGTTTCATTATCTTCGCTTAATATTAACAGCATTAGAACGCTTACCATCCGAACGTCGTTTCGTTGTACGTGGAATACGGAAAGATCTGACAGCAGAATATCCAGAAGGTCATACATTTGTTTGGTGGGGTTTCTCATCATGTACATCGTCTGTCAAAGTTCTTGAATGCGAATTATTTTTTGGTAAAAAAGGAACACGAACTCTATTTCAAATCGATTGTGAAACGGGAAAAGATATTAAAAAACATTCATTCGTACAGAAAGAAGATGAAATTCTTCTATTACCTGCTCGACAATTTCAAGTCACATCGTGTCTTGATTCTGGCAATGGACTTCACATTATACAATTGAAAGAAACACAACCACCATTTTCTCTTCTCGAGCCAATTACTTTGCCGAGCTCATCAAAACAACCACTTAAACCCATCAATATTCTACATCAGCCAGTAATCGAACAAACTCCATTGATCGAACCAAAAAAAGGTTCGTATAAACTAACGGTCGTAATAAATTACTGAAGAAAAATATAAATATTCTGCTTAGCACCGACACTATCACCACCTGAATACAAAAACGCAGAATTGGAAAAAGAGATTAATGAAAAGAAAAACGAGAAACAGTTATCATTTGATTATAAAGTATTGAATCATCAGGATATGGAAATTGTGTCTTATTATGGAGTTGCAACTAATAAGGTAATATCTTAGCTGCATATGTGTTTATGCCTAATGTATACTAGCAGGTACTCACTGTGCTTAACCTTTCCCAAAAGCAGATCAATGATCAAGGTGTTCAATATCTTGCCAATGCTCTTATCAACAATAATGTGTGATATTCGTTTACTCATCTCTTATTAATTATCCGAATATTTTTTTTCATAGACGCTCACCGTACTCTTTCTTCAAGGAAATCAAATAGAAGACGTTGGCGCGAAATATTTATCTATTGCTCTCTTGAGTAACACGGTGAGTAACAAACTTCAACAATGACCACTTTTCTTAGCGATTGACAGTTTTTACATAGACGCTTGTCACACTCAATCTTGATCAAAATCGAATCGGTGATGTCGGTGCACAGTATCTGGGCAATATGGCCATTAATAATAGGGTGAGTATCATTATCGGTATCTCTTCTTTCGATTGTATTTTATACAATGTTCATACAGACTCTAACCCACTTAAGCTTGTACAACAATCCAGGTTCCTTTTGTGTTATTGTCAATGATATGATGTCATTTAAACGAGATAAAGTAAGTCTCTCCAAAAACACTTAAAACTCATCTGTATCTAAAATAAAATTTCATATTTATGATACAGTCAGTCTCTAGTTTTTATGTCAGTGACCACAAATTAGATGATCAAGGTATTCAACTTATTGGTAATCTTCTCAAAACCGATACGGTGAGCATTGTTTTTTATTATTATCTACCGATATAATTACTATATTTGGCGCAGACACTTAGCTCACTCACTTTGCGTGGTAGTGAAATCGGAGATCGAGAGATACAATATCTTGCTACTGCTCTTTTGGACAATACAGTGAATAATATTCATTTGGTATTACTTTTTCCTTTAATCATGAGTATTTCTGACGTATAGACATTGGATGAACTTGATCTCGAACGAAATCTTATTGGAGATCAAGGCGCACAATATTTAGGAAAAGCTTTCGAGAAAAACAATGTAAGCAACATCTTTTATAGAACACTTCGTTGTGAATCAACATTTTCCATGCACAGAGACTTGTCGAACTCAATCTGAGTGAAAACCGAATTGGAGATCAAGGTGCGCTATATCTTGCAAATACTTTCAAAAAAAATACCGTAAGACCTATCTTTTAATGATTTCTTCGTTAAAAGTGAATACTTTCCATATAGAGACTCACAAAACTTGATCTTTCGAAGAATCGCATTGGAAATCAAGGAGCACAATATCTAAATGATGCATTCGAAAAATCTACAGTGAGTGTGATCTGTTGTTTATCACTCACTTCGTAATTTTCTATCATCTTACAGGCTCTGATTGACCTAGATTTAGATGAAAATCCTGGATCTTTCTGTGCAACCGTTTCTGCTCTTATTTCTCTGAAAAATAATAAAGTAAGATCTCTTAGATACAATCAAATATTCATCTATCTCACATCCCGACGTGTGTATCTCTAATAACACAGACAGGCACCAGATTGTATCTTAGTGAAAAGCAAGTGACCGATCAACATATACAGACTATTGTTGACGCTCTCAGAAATAATAAAGTCGGTTTTATTTTTCACAAAATTTGATTTTTACTGTCGTTAAATGTATAACAGACTATAACACGTATTTCCCTATCTGATAATCAGATCGGTGATCAAGGTGCCCAACGTCTTGCTGATTTTATTAAAAACAATACAGTGAGTGTTACTCCTTGTTAAGTTTCCTTCATATTATTAGTATCTTTTGAACAGTCACTAACTGATCTTTGGCTTGATAACAATCGGATAGGGGATCAAGGAGCGCAATATTTGTTAAACGCTCTCGCAAACAATAAAGTAAAAATATGGTATTTCACTAATCATTATGTTTATCTTTCACATAGACACTTACCACATTGAAACTGTATGGCAATCCTAGTTCTCTTTGTTGGGCACTCGATGCTGCTATATCTATCAGACACGATGAGGTATGATCATTTCATACGCTCTTTTATTCATGTTTTCCAATACTAAAACATGTATTTCTCATACAGAAGTGTACCCGTGTATATCTTCATGAAACACAAATTACAGATCAAGGAGTGCAAATCATTGCTGATGCTCTCAAAAATAATCTGGTGATAATCATTTTTTAGTGATTGTGCTCTGCTATCATTCACAAATTTTCATATAGACAGTTGAAAGTCTTAATCTCGATGGCAACCAAATCAGTGATTACGGAGCACGATATCTTGCCAATGTTTTGTTAAACAACGATGTGAAAACGATTTTTAACTCTTTCTTTCTTAATAGTTCTATTCTTTACACAGACGCTCACTGAACTAAGTTTCAAAGATAATCCGGGTCGTATCTGCGAATTTGTTGGCGCTGTTATAGATATTAAACAGGATAAAGTAAGAACAGCTTTCAAATGAGAATATTCATTCATCTAGAGTATAAATATATATTTTATAAATAGGGATCTAGTTTCCTCATATTCAATGAAATAGGACTCAACGATCAAGACATATATTATTTATCCCAAGCTCTCTTAGCAAACACGGTCAGTGCTTTTGTTACAGATCTCTTTGTTTTCCAATAATTAAAGTCTTTTCACAGAAGGTTCGAACTGTTTCTCTGACGGACAATAGAATTGGCGATCAAGGTGCACAACATCTAGCCAATGTCATAGAAAGCCATCCAGTAAATATCAGTTTCACGCAACAATTCCCTCACTTATTTGTTTATATAGACAATTCAATCGCTGCTACTTACGAATAATCGAATCGGACAAAAAGGAGCAGAATCTTTGATTAATGCGTTGCGACTGAGTAGCGTAAGAAACATTTCGTTTCTTCTAATCTGGTTACTAAACAAATATTTTCTTCTATCTCACAGACACTGACAACTCTTCGACTCGATGGAAATAATATTCCATCTAATGTATTAGCGCGGTGGAAGCAAGACAATGACATAAGGCGCATACTATTCGGTGGCGGTTTGCCATTTAAATGGAAATCACATGCTAATAGTGGATATCAATGAACTGAAAACAATTGAACTTTATCAAAACTCCTTCGTATCAAATTCTATACAAATAAAATATTGAACATTATTACGATATTGTTTAACCGTCATGATCATAGCGCATTGAGAGTGTGCGGATTGATATGTTTCTTTTTAACCTATGAGATCTATTCATGCAAAAGCTCTTTTGAGAGACAGAGTCTGTGACAGACCACAGCATTTTCACTTATGTCTTATATAATTCCTAAGAAAACAAATATTAATTGCTTCTTAAATTTTTTTAAACGCGTAGAAATGACGATTCCAGTCTAATCACTTTCCAGCGGGAAAATGGACCTAAATCACTCGAAGTAAATCCAATAGAATTCTTGCATATACGTGCGGTTGTGCACAGTTAAAATGATTGACGTATATCCGTTGAATGATCGTGATTGAGAATGTGAATGTGACAATATTCCAGGCTTTTACTTAGAATTGAATAGCTTATTTTGTTCACTTCTTTGACTTGATGCGCGCTTAGTTACAATCAGAGAAAATTTATTTAACGACATGTTTTATTCTTTTTTTTTATTGACACATTTCGAATTTCCATATAAAACGATCATTCAACATTCGTTCAATTCTTCCGAATTGTCGTCACATGATATTTGGTTATTCGACATAATCAAACAAAATCTGTTTGATCAAAGCAATGCAGAATCATTATATCACGCTGTATCAGATTTAATGAATTCGTTCTGTCATTACTTTTGGTAAGTCCTAAGTAGTTTTGTTATTTACTATTCACTTTGTATTCCTTTCATAAAGGTGAATCAACGACATTTATCACTTTTTTGTCATTATTAGGTAAACTCCATGAAAAATATTTTTAAAGAGTCTGTAGATTAGTTCAGATAGTGGCAATTCCACGTACGAATTTTATCGACAATCGTTTCGAACCGGTTTGATTAAAAAGAAGTCGATGCTCCGTGAACAATATTATAATAAGATATAGATCAGAATGTTTCTTTTAACCGTACCCACAAATCGTTGTTGTCGATTTTCAAGAGTTTATGGATGGTGAAACAGCGGATAAAAGTTCTGTTTTTTCCATTAATTTGTGCAATGTGTGAGAAATCTCATCAAGACAAGACATGTACAAAATTAGATCAATTTTCTTGTTTAATAGAAATTTTTATTTGAAGAGAATTGAAAATATCCTGTACTTGTAGCCGAAACGATTGTTATTCATACAGGTTTTCCGAAGAAAAAATGTCATTCTACTCATAAATTTAGAAGCTGAGTTCAAGCCCATCTTAGTAGGCAAAACGATGTATTATTGCAATAAACATTGACTGTCTTACTCGTTTAACAGATGCCAAAGCTGCCGAACCTTCCTCACCAATTTCATTTCGGTAAAGTTCTACTTTTTTCAGTGTCTATGGAACGAAAAATTCGAATGATTCTGAAATTCATCATGTCGAAAACATACGTGATTTTTGAACCGATAAAATTATAGCGGAATTTCAATGTTGTGAGTGTCTGTATAAATAAAAAGAAAAGTGAACGTGATCGGAGATCATCGACGATTGCAACTTACGTTGTTCATTTTCAATACTTCTGCT